CCCCCCCCCCCCCCATGAAATCCTCATAGCCCACCCACACATAAATTTTGAACGCTCCCTTATCTGCTAGCAGATAACTGACTAAACTGAGTTATCTGCAAATGAGCCTGCGATGATTAGCAAGCGGTATTTATTTAACACAAACAAAGGGAAACTAGCAAAGCAAAATTTTGAACAATGTGAATATGGATAGGTTTTCAAACTTTTCAGAAGACGAAATACAAAAATTACTCGAAAACAAAGACGCAGATAACACGAAAAGAACGTATAAAGTGGCTAAGGAAGTATTTTACGAATATCTAAATGAAAAAGAAATACCAGAACCGACCGAAAAAAGCGAACTTGCTCAAGTTCTTAAGAAATTTTATGTCGAAGCGCGAAAAAAAGATGGTTCGTCTTACAGTATGGGAAGCCTTAGAACAATTCGATTTGGTTTGAAAAGATATTTAAAGACGGTGACAGGCTTTGATATTATTAATGATGAAGGATTCAACGAAGCGAACGAAGTTTACTCGGCCAAATGTGTTCAACTGAAGAAAGAAGGACTAGCAAAAGTGCAACACAAGCCTCCGATAGCCAATGCAGACTTGAAAAAACTTTACGAAAGTGCTGTGTTCAACACCGATAACCCTTTTGAACAAAGTGTTTTTCGAAATCATGCTGTGCTTTTGCCGTCGTTGACGTCAAAACCTACGCCAGTTAAAGAAGTCGCACTTTGCTGTTTTGGTCGATGCATCGGGGAAAACGTTTGTGACGAAAGTTGTTGACGAGCTAACCAAAAACCACAGAGAAAACGACGAAGCCGAACAAGGAGGGATGAGGTATGCAACCGAAGGCCCATTCTGTCCTGTTGCATCTTTTGAGAAATATCTACAGCATTTAAACCCACAGAATGAATTCTTGTTTCAACGTCCAAAGAAGAATACAACGGCAGATTCTGATGTTTGGTATGACAACATGGTCGTCGGCGAAAGATACCTAGGCGACATGATGAAAAACATATCCAAACAGGCAGGTTTATCACAGCAGTACACAAACCATTCGATACGGGCGACAGCGGTCACAATCTTAGATAAATCAGGTTTTCAGGCTCGCCACATCATGTCTGTTAGTGGCCACCGTTCCGAGAGTTCCATCCGAAGTTATAGCAAGACGGACGAAGCTACAAAGAAGCGAATCTCAGAAACCTTGACATCTGCAACTGCAGGTACCAGCGGCAGCGACTTTCCAGCTATGATATATGACCCGCAACAGATAACGGAACCAGCATTGGCAGCAACAAGTTTATCTCCCCTATTGACCCTTTCACAAGAACAGCATATTTTGACAGACCTGAACTTGACTACCAACACACAGGTTGCCAAACAGTATACATTTCATAATTGTAATGTATACTTTAACAATTAAATACGTTAACGATAATATGTTTCTTTTATACTTGCAATTAATTTAACTGTTGGACTTGTTTGTCTTGTTTAACTGTTGGACTTGTTTATATCTTATGAATTAATTAATGTATTATTGGGTGTGCCTATGTTTTCATAAATAAAGTTTTCATGCGTTAATACTATGTTTATTATTCTTCAAATGTATAATAAAACAATTATTAAATTCGGTTTTTGCGATATGCAAAATTATCAAGGTCTCGGTAAGCGTTATCAGCCTCGCCTTCGGCTCGGCTGATAACGCTTGCCTCGACCTTGATAATTCCGCATATCACAAAAACCTCATCCAATAATTGTTAATTATTGCATGGTCATTTTCTTGTGAAATATTAGTGTTAGGCATTTCACACTTACCAATGACCACCCTGAAAAGTACCATCTCTGAACCATATAAGCACTTCAGAATAGCCAAAGCTTTTATGGTTTGGTAGATAGCAGTATGGCGAAAGCGTCGTTTTTGGGTGTGGTCAGTTTCGGACTTTCGTCCCGGATTGGGGTTCGGGCGGCGTTACCATGTTGACCGTCATGGTCAACTTGCCCTAAAACAGTTGAGATTATCTGTCCTAAATGAAATGCATACAAACTCATATACAGGTCCTAGACTACATTATAAAATTGCCAAACATAATTCTATTTCTCAACCATGTCAAAAGTACCCTGGGTGCCAGAGCCTCTTGTGATAGAGGTGAGACGACGAGGAGGCTCTGGTCACATGAGTATCCAGCCTCACTTTGGTGAGTTCAATATTTGAACTCTGTTTGTGATTGGTCTAAATTTATGTGAGTCTTTTCATTGGTTGGCCGATGAGCTTAATAAATTGCTTATTGCCACACATGATAGAATCTCATTTTGAAGTAGAATAATTGCTACTGTGCATGTAGTGTTAAGGTGAGATGGCGCATCTCTTATCCATCCTGGACAAATGGCGCATTTGACCACAGTTTATAGACTAAGATGGTTGGGCTAGCCGGCAAACTTCAAAGGCGGCGGCAAATTATGTTGGGGATCAAAGGATAAAAAAGTCACGTGTCCATGAAGCGGTACGCTGCGTGTGTTTTTATATAGTTTTCTATTAGGAAAAATCAAATATCTGGATAAAATATCATATTTCGCTTTGTTTGAGGAGGGTCATTTAATAGGATTGTTATCGTTATTGTCTGGCAAGTTCGTCGAGAATGAAACAGTCTTTTACAAAGCAAAATAAGCGAATACGACTGCGAAAATGAAGCAAGCATTGGAAGGTTCGAAGAGATCGATTTATCTGATGACGATTCAGACGACAGTTTCAACCTTTTGTTTGATGTTTTGGTGGCTCAAACGGAGACAAATGAAATTGACAATGAGTTTAATTAAGCTGCAAACGAAATCAAAGGCAAGAAGGCATTTGAGTGCGAGAAATGCTGTAAAATATGCAAATCGAAGGTGCTCTTTTAATATACAAGGTGTACAAATTCTAAACATGCCGAGCCCAAGACTGCCGAGGTATACAAGAACAATCTAGACAAAGATACAGTTGATGGCTTTGTTGAAGCAATCAAAGCTAGAATTATAAACGAAGGTCTATATGGCAACGAGAGTTCCATTGCAGCACCGTTTACTGCTCTGCTTCCTATGTACGAAATAATTTGGAAGGAAAAGAATCAGGACAAGTTGCTCGAAACCTTTTATGGCTTAATTCCTCCATTGGAAAAGTGGTTGAAGTGTGATGATTATAGAATAGCGAACTTAGTACTGATTCAACTGCCTGTTTTTTTGTTGGCATCTATAAGACTTCCACAATGAACAAAACGCAAGACGACACGCCAGCCACACTTGAACCCAGCTGAATGCCGACCATTGTCCTACATTGCTTTGCACAATCTCACTTCTGCGGTTCGAGCAGAAATAAAAGTCTTTGCATGACTTGCAATAAGGCTTGAATTTCATCGTTGGACTGGCCTTTCGTTGTTCGATTTTGTGAACAAGCTTTACTCGCAATATATCCATATTTTGAATAAAGCTTGTTCTCAAAAACCAATGAAAGAAAGCCCAGTCCAACGATGAAATTCAAGCCTTATTGCAAGTCATGAAGTCAACTGAAACGACAAATACTTTTATTTCTGCTCGAACCAGAGGTGGGTTTGTATGCCCTTGTGACGACTTAATTCATATTATTGAAGTTTCTGAGTTACTTTCAGAGGTGAAATCAACAAGATCAATGACAATGATACATTAATAAGAAGTATACCTATAGCCTAGGCTATACAGAACGTTCATATTTGCAATTCAGTGCTCGACTCTCCTGTTGTGAAGTGATTATGGGAGAACATTGTTTTATCTTCTGGGGTTGACAGTTCATCTGCAACTCCAAAATTGTGCTTGGAAGATATTGTTAAAACTCTACTTAAAAGTTAGATCTTTTTCATATGTACTTTAAAGTACAAAATAAAAGTGAAGCAAAAAAGACCAAAGGCAAAGCGCTCAGAAAGGACTTGAATAGGAAGTAACTGTTCCTGTAAATAGTATCTGTAAA